AGTAATTTGTTATTTAATGTATAGAAATTTTTGTTGATATAATATTTAAAACAAGTCCGTATTTCGCTTAATAACTATAAAAGAAAATTATAGAATGCTTAAAATCAAAAAAGATCAGTTTTAAATTTAAAAAAATTAATAAATGATATAACAAAATATTTAACTCGTCAATTTTTTTTAAAGATTTGTAAAAACTTACAAGAAACTAAATTGTCGATAGAAAATCCTTAAAAAATGACGTACCTTCTTCGTATTATACGGAAGAAGATAAAAAAAACATGTTTGTATCATGAAAAAGTGTTAAATAATAGGAATACCAATAATATTAATTAGTTTTATGGCAAAAATAAAATATTATTAGTAAAACAAAACTAATAATAATAAAAGTTTATTACCCAAAGTGACAAAAAAATTTGAATAGTCTATCAATTTTTTAAAAGATACAACAGATATCTATAAAATAAAACTATATTAATTATAGCTAAAATAATAAATTATAAAAAAAATATTGCTGCTGCGATAATAAAAGTTTAAAAGTAATCACATGTCAAAAATCTGTAAAAACCATTCATATTTTCAATAAAAACAAAATTATTTTTATATATTCATAACTTTAACAAATATTTATGCTGGCCCGAAATTAAAATTAGGACAAGTAAACACATCGATTCTTTTCAGGTAAAGCGCATATTTGATTAATTAGCTCGAGAACTGATAAAACAAATTGGTCAAAATAATTAAAAATTAATCTTATATTGACCAGATGTGCAAAATTAGGTTTGTTTATACAGGCCTATAGGTACTTTCCTACGATTTTAATTAATTAAAATAATTATATTTTGGCATACATATCTAATGTTTATTAAAGAAGTTATGATTTTATTGTTTCCTCCTATAAATCTCTAAATTTAAAGTGTTTACCCTAAAATTAAAAATAACCCAAAAATCAAGACATTTTTTTATTAGGCAATGCCTTGTATAAAATTTCTTTTTAAATGTCGATTAAGATGTCGTTTTTTTTTCACTCCAATAATAAAATGCCGACATCAAAATTCAGTTTAAATCTCAATTCTTATAAAAAAACCTTTTAAAATAAAAAATATAGTTTTAGTTTTAAAAGAATAAAATTAAAAACTCATTATGATTCAGCTCTCATATCTTTTTAAATAACAAAGGTAGAATTTTTAACAATTTTCTGGGCTTCCTGGACTTCTGGGATACAGGATGAATTACGATCCATCGTATAAATCACCCATGGGTGATTTATACCAGAAGGCGAAAAATAAAAATCTTGTTTATTTTCCACAAGAATTTTCATTTTTGGTATAAATCACCCTGCAATACAGGGTGTTTCACATTCAAGGTCCTTTGACGTTTCTGGGGAACGGAAAAAGATATCGATTTGAAATTTTAAAAGCGTTAATAATCCATTCGTCTATTTTTCAAAAATATTTTGAACAAAATGCCAACTCCAGTTTGACTCAAAAACTATTCACTTTAGGTATAGGACATGGTCATTTTACTCAGAATTTTATTTAGACTTAAAATATGTAGAAATATATATGCGGTGTTCTATTTAAAATAGTTGATGTCACTTCCAGCCAAACCGAAAGGGGCATTTGGTTCAAAATATTTTAGAAAAATAGGCTTCTTCTGCTCTTCCCCAGAAACTTTTAATGGGCCACGAACGTGAAACACCCAGTATATTAAGAACATATTTTAAAAAACTTACTACTTACATACTTTTACTGCAGTGTAGGGAGACAGTTTTACAAGTACTAAATAAAATGGGATGACCAATTGTATTTATAAGTACAAGCAATTAACATATTTACCGACCACATACAAATGTTATTTGAGTTTTTTACTTGGACGTAAATTTAAGATTTTCTAAAAAAAGTTTTACCTGGAAATTTCTTACACGGTAACTTTCATTTTAAATGTTTGCATATATCGCAATTCACTAACAAATATTGTACATCGAGATGTACATAATTAAGAAATTTACTATTTATTTTTATCGATTTAAAATATTAACTATATTATACGGTATTAGCAAAGGATATTAATAATCCCACCATATATCATTCAAATTAATTACATTTAACTTTTTAATAATTACACAATTGTATATAAAAATAAACTTCGAATAAAATTTTAACATGATTGTGAGAAAATTCAGAAGTAAACTTTTTTTATATTTTTATAAATGTTCTCGACATAATTGACACATTGAACAAATTAATTAGGCTAGACCATCAGACAAAACAAATATTGAATCATATTCAATGAATCAGCTGATATTGAAATAATTTTCAGTAGAACTTTACTGCATAATATTTGCAGTATGCCATCGCAATACATTATAATGTATATTTAAACTGTGTATTAATTGGGAAAACTATTTATAAAAATGACAAATATGAATCAAGTTCGTTTTAAGGAAAATTTGCCAAATTCATTTTAATTTAATGGGAAAACCATTGCGGATTAGCACTTTAAATTATGTGATAAGTGTTAAATTAAGAGTTTTGGATTAGTAGGTAGGTAGTAAAAGTTTTCAGAAAAAACTGGTTTTAATTTTCAAACTTTAAACATTCCATAGGATGCAGAAATTTATAGGTATATAGTGCATCATCGTCACATCAAAAAGTCCCACCTTGACATTTAAATACAAAAAGTTATCTATCTAGTCAGTTTAGAGCTAATTTCGTTTTTTTATAATACAAAATATGTATTCTTTGTGTTCTAAATTAAAATCATAATACCCAAAAATAAATATTACATTGTATAATTTTCAGAAAGAAGACGAAATTAGCGTTAAACTGACAGGTAGATAGGTAGGACTTTTTGATGTGTGGCATAGTACCTATACTATTATAGTATAGACTAATTATTAATTTAATTCATTTGCTAAACTTAATTGTAATTCATAATGTTTACAATTTAAAAAATCATAGATAACTCTCTTTATTTAAACATGATCACGTTGAGAATTTATGTAGAAAATTGCGAAAATCTTTATCGTTAAAAATGTACCTAATTAATATTAATTTTGATTTTCAAGTATTAATATTGCAAAAGTTGGTTATTTAAATCTTACCACAAAACATAATTTAAATAAAATCTGTATAATAACTATAATTTATTATTATACAGATTTTAATTGTATCATTTGTTGTGGTGACTTGAATATATTATGCATGTTTCATCGAAGTTTAAAATGGTATCATTTGATTTAAAATACCTATTCAAATTGACATATTTTCTTAAATCATAGGTTTGTATCCAGCTAGATTAAAACAAAGAAGTCTTTGAAAGAACAGTGTTTTTAATCAAATCAACGGTCATTATATTTAAAACTCTATTTAATTGTTCATCAAATTAGCCATGCATATAGAAACAAAACAAAAGGTTTCTTATATGTACATATGTATATGTATATAATATAAAATTTTAATGTATAGCATTGCATAAAGTTTTTAAAGGAGTTTTTAACCTTTTAGGTTGTTAACATTAATTTAAAAAGCAGCAAGCATTCGATTCGCAAAATGTATTATCCTGAATATCGCCTGCCGAGAACATTAATCCTTTTTACAGTCTAAAAATACGTTCGAATAAATCAAGTTTAAATAAAATCTAAGGACGTCTTTATGCCTTTATTTCTTTTACATAAGTTCAATGATCTTTAAATAGTATAATTTATTAGTCCGCAAAAACTGCGTGCGTTACCCTGTTACCCCCTTAAAAGTTAAAACAATTGTTAATAGAAAGAAAATTGTTTACTTTAATTTGACATTTCAAACTTGACTCTCATCAGATTTTTTGTTGAAAATATCAACATGACAGTTCTTAAACTATAACGAACTTGTAAAATATATCTGAATCAGATTATCTGATGCGATCTGATGTCTCCTATTAAAATTGGAGGTGGAAATGTCAACTGTCAAAGGTAAAATATTTTTTCTACTCCCACCTTTAAAACGACCATTATCGTACATGTTTCCATGACACTAAGTGACCTTTTAAATACACATTGACAAGTTTTGGCTTTACGGCGTTTTAGTCACGGGCTGAAGTCAGCAACAGGTTTTTAATCACGGGCTGAAGTTAGTTTTAAGTTAGTTGACAGTTGTCAAATGCCATACAATCGTTAAAATAAAGTGCCTTTCTTGTAAAATAATAGGTACTAAATGTGAAAATTATTTTATTATCTCAAAAATACAAAAGTATTTAATAGTTTCTCAACGCCAATATTTGAAAAGTTTATATGAACATTGTACTGACCTTTTAATTTCGCCGGCAGTAAACTATAACTTAAATTCGGGCACGGACTCCACTGTAAAGTGCTCATAAAACATTTTCTTTACTTTCACTGTAAAAAACTGTTCATTTTCAAGAAATACCTACATTTCGATTTATAACCTTTATAATCTGTGTTTATAAATTTGACATTTGACAGTAACACACAGATTCCCCTATTGTTTCATAGATGGCGCTCCATAAAAATATTTGATTTAAATCATCTTAAGATAATAATAAGTATTTGTCGTAGAAAAAGTATAGTATGCACCTAGTTTATAAACTTTTCTATACACTCATTAATTTAAGAACTCGCTCGTAAGCACGCTCGTGCCTAAATTAAATTCGTGTATAAAATGGCGTTTATCAAACTTGATAGATAATATAGTATTTTATACTGTTTAGCCAACGGTTTTACTAATTTAAAATATTTCGTTTTATGCCAGTTTTTCACGCAAATTAATGTTATTATTATTATTATTATGATGGTACTTCTTCACTATTTGATCTTGGTAGACATAGAAACAGTGGGTATTTTAGTGAGTTATAATAAACCAACCATCTAAGCAAAATTTCATTCAAAATATAAGGTTTTTGCATTGACATTTCTTTAGATGTCATTAAAAAAACTTGTACAAAGTAGCTGGGTACATTTTGTTTTAATGGAAGGTAGTTTATTAATAAAATTTAGTACTAACCTGGGTCTATTGGACCTCAAAAGATTCGTGCAATGTTTTATAATCGCTACCACTCTGAAAACACCTAAAATTTTTCATTTTCCAACAAGATAAACGTGAATAAAACTGTACGTGACGTAAGCACACACTAACAGATGCTTCTAAGCAACAATGCGGATTTTTGACGGGACAGCCGACTATATAGAGATAACACGCCGCGCATGCGCTGTAGCGATTAACGTTATAACGCGGTTCTTTTAGATTACTTTGTGAATTTGGCAGAATTTAAATGAATTTCAGTTAAACTATTATTTTTGTTTTTTTGTGTAGGGAATGTGGGCTTTGCTGTTATTGAATGCGTAGTATTGGAATAAATATAAAAAGCAATAAAAATTAATAAACCAATAAATTAATAAATTTTATAAGTACCTAGTTATTGTTTTATTTTATTATCTAAAAAATTAACATAGTTTGTAATAAATCTAAAAATATAAGAAATTAGAAATGGGTTCCACACCAAATTTATATGAGTTTATAATGACATTAAATAAACAAGTTCTGCGCAAACAGAATTTAAATTAAAGTTTTCGAAAAAAAGATAACTTTTTGCTCGGCCGTACCGGCCCCAAGGCGCCCCCAATAAAAAATAATATAAATTTAATTGGTGCAATTTATTATCTACTATAATGTATCCACAAATTTAAAATTATATTTAAAAAATCCAAATATTACAGGTTTTATACCATTTTAAATATTTTTTTATTTTAATAAAATAAATAATAAAAATTTAAAATTAAATAAAATAAAAATAATAATTTGCTGTGTTTGATATTGGACATGGTATCTTTATTTTAGTCCATGATCCACCCACAGAACATAGAGAAAGGTCTATATAGTCCATATGGTCCACGCCCAAAAGTCCCACCATGAGACTTTGATACAAATAATTAAGCTTATTTCGTCCTATTTTCTAAAAACAAAGCAATATACATATTAGCATATTTTGTATATAGTTATAGGTCTTAATTTAAATCACATGTTGTACCCTTTTTACATTGAATTAATATTTTTTTAATTATTTTTACAAAATGTATTTTGTGATTTTCTCGTGAATGAAAAGGATATTTAAATAATAGACATATTTTGGAGAGGGGGTTATATTTTTTAAAATATATATTTACACAATTTATAATTATTAACACAGTCTAATCACATAATATTTTTTTGTTTTTTTTTCAGAATTATACAGTTTTTTATGGGACGGTTCAAACATTACTTGACCATAGGAACATTTGAACAGTTGAAAGAACTAATTAATAATAGTTAATCACCAAAAAAATCGTGACATAACAATCAAAAAAGTTACTAAGTAAATAATAATTAAAATTAGTGCCCAATGTGGGCGATATTATGATACAGAAAACAATTCAAGTAACTGCAGTTAAAATTTATTGAAAAATCCAGCAATAAATTTACATAACAGAAATTAAAAGCAGACAAAATTAAACCACATTGAAGTGGACACATTCATCCAGTTTGTGCATATATGTATATAAAATCACAGTAAGTGACCAGGTGGTCTTAATTAAAACGATAATAAAAACAGGGAGATTCAGTCAAAAAACTTAAATTAGCTAAAATCGCTTATTGTCATATAATAAACATTAAATTAGGCTACAGACCAGAAAAGCAAACCAAACTATAAACCTAAATAACACCTATTTTTGTTTTTGTTTCCTTGTTTTTGAATTATCCTAAAATTAAAGAATTTAAAAATATTTGTGCATATGTAAATTATCAACACCCTGTATATTAGTACCACAAGCTTCATTATTTAGCTGCAAACATTTTACATCCTACCAATAACATAGCTTATACACTGGTAAAACAATGATTTTTGGACAAAGTAACATGTTTTTATTTAACATGCCACAACACTGTATTAGGGCACTCTTACACATTTAAAGCTGTACGAATACCAATCTTAACCTTATATTAAAAATTTACAATAATATTATATCGTCTTTATACTGAAAAATGTCTTATGTAACTTTTGTATGTCACTTTTAAGGACAAAATGCATTGTACTTTTCTAAAAGCCCTAAAGCATGAAAATTGGTTTATGCCATATGCTTCTATTTCTTCTCTAGGTTTTTAGAATATTAAAAAGTAACGTTTTTTTTTCCTGAAAAGTTACATACGACATTTTGCAGTATCAAGGACGATATTAAGGTTTTTAATTTTAAACCATGCTTAATGTTAAATTTGGTTAAGCACAGCTTAAAACACGCCTTTAATTGTAAATTGTTTTTTGAAAAATATGGAAGCACATAATGTACAGTTACCTGAATTAATGATTTTTTAAATTAAAAACTACATAATAAAACCAAAAACACAAATTATATACAAAGTGGGTGTTGAGATAATTTGGTATGAACAATCCAGTTATTTAACAAATTAAGCATTTAGGTTAAATTTTTGATAGTATGTGTCAAAAACGTAATCTAAAACTGTCAACTTTAACAAAAGTTAGGCCAATAAACGTTTGTGATGGCTCTGCAGCATGAGCTTCCTGAAAAATTGAGTGTATGAGCAAGTCATGTAGATGCAGGGCCGTAGCCAGAGTTTTTTTATTGCCAGGGCCATGGTCTTCATAGCTAGGGCACCATAAGATTGAGATTTAGATGAGCATTTATGTACTCGTATAGGGCATTACGCCAAATAGGCAGCTTTTTAACCTTTTGATTTGACTGAAATTTTCATATATTGTATTACTCCACTAAAAACGTTTCTGTGAATTTATTCAAATTTTTTTCCCAACCGAAATTTAAAAATAAATGGTGCTGACCCAGGGTTTTTTTATTTTTTCTTTTATACAGGGTGTACTTCTATGAGTATTTTTTAATTTGAAGAGCTAAAAGGTCGAATAAATTAGAGAAAAGTTGCGTAGTTACAAAATTTTTTCTATTTAACTATGTAAAAATCCAATATGGAGGCTATAGAAAAAAACAAAAGATGGTTGGTGGTATCAAAAAATCTAGCAGGCAAAATTAGATAAAATGTACATGTGAAACTTACTTTTTTTTCCCAGGAATAACAAAGTTATTTATGGTTTTGACAGGTTTTCAGTTTTTTTCAAATTATTTGAGAAGGGCTGATTTTTTCCTATTATTTAAACGCCATTTTAATAGATTGTAATTACTTAACTTTTATATAATTTAACCGATCTTTTAGCTCTTGCTGTACTTGCTTTTCAGAAGAAAAAAATTAGTCGTATTCTATGAAATGTTTCAGTTTTTCGGAAAAAACGTTAATTTTGGAAAGTACGCAATTTTTTGGTTTTTTTATTTTTTCTTAACTTAATTTATTCTGCTTTAATGTCGCAAATCCACGGTGGGCCAACTTTCTTTGTATTTTTTTATTTGAATTTTTTTTATCGCAATTCAACTTTCTTATTAGGATTTCTACTATTTCTTTCTTTCCTTTTCGCTCACGCGCAACCCAAAAATCCGATTCATGGGGTCAAAATAAATAGAAAAAATAAAAATAAAAGTTGTCCCACTATGGGATTTGAATAATTACCCGCAAGTTTATGTTGAAAAAAAAACATGGCGATTTTTTTTTCTTCTAAAAAACTATAATATTTTACTAACAATTTGGAAAAAAAGGTCCCAAATGTTCAGTTTATGAAAAAGTTGTAAGCGTTTGATAAAAAAGCATTAATTTCAGGTGGGTGTAAAAATTAAAAAAAAATCACAATCAAAGGCGTCAAGTTTTAAAAATGGTCGATTTAGTGTAAAATGCCTTATTTATTGCAGTTTTATAAAATATTAGGGATACTTATATTGTGCGGAAAATATAAAAATTTTAGTAATTTTAAGAATTTCACTCATGCAAAATATGATTCATTTTAAGTTACGCACACATACTGATGCAGTCGTCTACAGAGACGTAGCAAGGGAGAGCGAAATGCAAAAATTTCGCCCTGGCAGAGAGTCTTAAACTAATTTAAAATTTAATATGGCATTTAATAAATAAGTTTAACAAAAATTGTCTTCCTGCAAAACTATCCCTAATGTTTTATAAAACGGCATTTTACGCCAAATCGACCACTTTAAACTTGACGCCTTTGACTAAAACACTACCCCGCTAAAAACGTTTTTTAAATTTTTTACCCACCCAAAATTGGTGCTTTTTTGTGAAACACCTACAGCTTCTTCAAAAACTGACTAATCGAGATTATTTTATTTTTTGGGTTCTTTTTATGCATTTTTGCAAGTTTCTTTATTTTAGAATATTTCCGAAATTAAACAGTGGAAAATTTTGAAAAAATTCTATAACTATAAAATTTTAAGCAAAGCAGCCGATTTGGCATGAAAATCCCCATACATTGTGTATATCTTCGAATCTTTACAATTTAATTACTTCATTAGGCTTGTGACGTTGCTATATTAAACTTACAGAATTTAAGGAGCATAAAATGCTGAGAAAATAGCAAAAACTCCCTGTTTCCTGGCCTTTACAGATAAAAAAATGCATCTTGAGTTTTGTGGGCACAAAACTCAAGATGCATGTTTGGATCTGTTAAGGCCATTTTCCCAACATTTTATTGAAATGGATATAGCCGGTTTTGCACGGACTCATCACAATCCACACAACATATTCTGTTCTATCTCATACTAAAAATCACTGCAACACTGCACAGAGTTTAACGGCGGCCATTTTTGCTGTTTACAATTCTTGTGCTTTGTGCAAATTAATAATCGTTTTAAACGTGTTTCTTAAAAGAGGGTCCTTTTGTAAAAAATAAACCTTATTCTATAAGGGCTGCCATCAAACTGTCAAATGTCAATTTTAAAGTAAATTAACCTTAAATTTTGACAGTTTGATGACAGCCCTGATAGAATAAAGTTTATTACTTACAAAAGAGGAGTAAAATGGTTGTCCTTAGCACTTTAAGGCCTCATTTGAGGCTGATAAGTGCCTCTGTAAGAAACACAACGTTTAAAACTATTATTAAACAGCACAAACCCAAAGCACAATAATTGTAAACAAAAAAATGGCCGCCGTTAAACTCTGTGCAGTCACAAATCCACACAACAAAGTCTGTTCTATCTCTTGCTAAAAATACTAAAAATCACTACAACAATGTACAGAGTTTAACGGCGGCCATTTTTGCTGTTTACAATTCTTGTGCTGTTTAATAATTGTTTTAAACGTTGTGTTTCTTACAGAGGCCTTTAAGTGTACAACCATTTTACTCATCTTTTATAAAAAAATATACATTATTCTATCAGGGCTGTCAAATGTCAATTTGAAGGTTAATTTGTGGGTTATAAATTAACCTTAAAATTGACATTTGACAGTTTCATGACAGCCTTCATAGAATAAGGTTTATTTTTTACAAAAAAAGGAGTAAAATAGCACTTTAAGGCCTCTTTTTAGAAACACAAGGATTATTAATATGTATAAACAGAGCACAAACCCAAAGCACAAAAATTGCCGCCCTTAAACTCTGTGCAGTGATGCAGTGATTTTTAGTAAGAGATAGAACAGACCTTGTTGTGTGGATTGTGGACTCTATAATGTCACTGTTTTTTTATCAAAACCATAACTGATTGTTTGTACCAAATTAACCCATAACCCAGCATAAAGACAGTGTAAATATAACTATATTTTATCGACATACAGCATCAGTTAAAATAATATAATAATTAGGCACTGGTTTTGTTATTTTATTATTCTCTCTGTCAAATTATATTCTATTCACCTTTTCGGCAGCCACCAAGGGATTCTGCCGCTCCAAAATCTTCCGACCTTCGGTTTTGTAATCGTAGGTGCAGCGGTGCACCTCTGAATGACGATGCTGCGCGCAAAAAATCCTGCCGCAACGGCAGTCGTAAATGTTGGTGATGTTCAATTTTTTGTTGCACTCGCCGCAGCGCGACCTCTTCTTCACGACCGGCGGCAGCTTGACCGAGTCCTTCTCCTTCTTCACGTCGACCGGTCTCTCGTTGAGAAACTCGGCGGAACAGCCTAGGTTGTAGTAGCCATACAAATTGTCTATTTCGTCGCTGGTGGAGAACAAATTGTCGCCGAACTCGTCGTTTTTGAGCCGCTGAATGCTGCTGCATTCCCCCAAAAAGTTAAACTTCTCCTTTTGCTTCACGTCCGAGGGTTTTTCGTCCTCCGCGGCGCTGCTACTCTTCCTGCCGTACAGAGGCGATCTGTTGGTGCTGCTGAAGTAATAATCGCACAGGCCTTGATCTTTGGGGGCGTATTGCGGCGGTATGGCACTGGGCATGTGGTAGTTGTAGCCCGAACAAACTTCGGCGTAGTCCGCCGAGGCGGCGTTCTTGCAGTAATTTATCTCGTTTTTGACGTTGGGATTGTCGGTGAACCCCCCGTAGTCCAAGCTCTGCCGGCGCTTCAGCAAACCTACTTTGCAGGTGGCGCTGTGCTTGAGGCGTTCGGCGGCCGGCTCGTGAAACTCCCACAAGTCTTGAGCGTTCTCTTCCAACTCGATGCTGTCCGGGCCGCTTTTGGGTCGGTCGGCGCTGTCGGATAAAACCAGTCTCGTCAGGTGGACCCGGTTTCTTGCCGCAACCGTCAACGATTCGCTGTACGGCTGCAGTTTGATGTCTTCGGTATCGTCGGGGTGTAAAAAGTCCGGGGATTTGCGTTCGCGCGACGTGCCTTCGCCGAACTTCAAGTCGCGGGTTTTCTTATGCATTCTGGCATAGTTTTGTCGCGCGTGAGAAAACTCGCCCTTATTCTCGCTGTATATCGATTTTTTGGCGTTCTTCGAGAATCTAGGTTTAGTCCGATGCTTATCTTTTAACGCAATCTCCTCGGTTTCCGAGTTGTTTTCGTCGTCGACGTTTTTCTCGAATATCGTCATGTCGAAGTCTTTCATTAAGTTGCTGGCGCACTCGCTTAAAAATTGATACGACAAATTCTTCTCCTCGGATTCTCCGAAAGCCTTTTCCTCCATCGAATCATTAGTTGTTTTTGGTGTTTGGTCATTGAGCGTTGTCTTGGAGTTTTTAGCCATTTTCCTAATGTTTACATCGGACATTTTCTTTCGCAGATTCGCAACTTTCGTCGACATGTCGTCGTCCTCCACCAAACGTTCGAATATGCCGACGTGGCTCTCCTTGCGCGGAGGTTTGGAGGGCGGCGAGATGGGCTTCTCGCTGTACGGCGAGTAGGAGCCGTCCTCGTTTTCGATGACGCGCAGCAGGTTGATGATGTCGCCCTCTTTGAACACCAGCACGGACACCTTGGAACCGGGAGACAACTTTTCGCCCAGGTCCTCTCTGGAACAAACGTTACTCTTCATTTTTTTCGTTTGAAACATGCGACTTTAAAAAGAGAAAAGAAATGGGTTAGATAAATAAATAAATAAAGTAAATTAAAAAAATTAAAAGTATAAAAGGTAGAAAACCAGAATTTTGTAATTTTTTTATTTATACCATTAATAACACTGGTTGAAAAAATTAAATTTTCTGTCTGCCACAGGGGAGCCAACAACTTTTTTTGGGTAATTTGAATGCGCTGATTCCAAACATAACCTTCATTTTGCTCAATTACCTTTGTTTTCGAGATATAATAAAAAATCGACAATTTTTAAAGTGCTGTTACGCAAACAATGAAATTTACAAAATTGAGTGGCTTCATTTATCTCAACTACCCACACAACACAAAAATATTTTAAAAATATTGCCAGTATATTAAGGTTCATTGATATGATTATTGGATAAACATTGTTTACCCAATGCCTAATGTTATTTCAATATTCCTACAACATTCAGATGTCCCAAAACCTCTATTGTAGAAATGTTATGATATAATATTAATAAAACATTGAGGAAATTGGTTTGCAAATATTTATGCATATTTTAGTAATATTACCAAAATATTTATTAAATAGTAAAGGATATTACTAATGTTTATTTAATATTGGAATTAATTCACATAAAAATTAAAATTTTCTAAAAATAATTTATTTATATAAAAATATAAATGTAGGTAACAAAAATACATGTAATATTACATGTTTAACAAAAAAAAACACTTTTTTTGGAACAGTGCTTCCTATTCATTCTAATTTTCTATATAATTATTTTTCATTTTTCCTGAACGGAGCTTGAGCCAACCATTGCCTTAGCTCCTTTAATATATCAGCAGTTGTTGCCTCCTTTGTTTTGATATTTGCTCTTACAGAATCTGAAAATTTACTGTAATTTAGATAAAGTTTTATTATAACTTTTAAAATTACCTAACAGTAACTGGAACAGTTTTAAATATTAGTTTTCCTCTTCCTCCATCAAAACTGTACTGTGCGGCCAATTTGTTGGTAACCATTAGGTACCTACAGAACTGATCTTGTTACTTCTTTCGGTGCCTCACCACCAACCATGGAGAATCTTTTGGCCTAGAATGTTAAATTGAAATGTCAAGTTTTAATGATTTATTTTTCTTACCAATTTCGTTCGCAAATTTGCATCCTCAAGAGACTCTTCAATGACCTGCAACTTTTCAGGAGAGTCAATTGGAAACAGTTCACAAATTGTATATTAATTCGATTATTCAGCAACAAGTAGGCACGCTAACTCTATATTCCCCTTATTTTCTTAAAAAAAAAATATGTGTAGGTACATACCTTTTTGTGAAGATACTGCCACTATATATAGTTTTATAGACTTACAATCGTTTTGCACCTTTTATTATTCACCTCTTATGTTCTGTAATTCACCTTAAATGGTCTAAGAATTAGTCTTAAAATTCAAATCACCAATTGCAAAATGGATGCTCAATGATGCAGAGATAAAGAAGGGAATGATGATTTCCCGCGTTCTTTTTCGTCATATTTCGTAACTCATCGGATACTACATTTGAATATTTCCAAATGATTAATAAATCATTTATACAATATTTAGAAAACAACAAGCTATAGCAATCTGATAAATATTAATGTAATATTTGTCAAATATTATATTACCAATATTGGCGTTTAAACGGCTTTTCAATATATTAGCAATATTAGGTGTTGTGTGGGTATTGTATTAAAATTTCAACGAAATCAAATAAAAATTACCAAAATAAATTAGAGAATTCGGTTCGGTTTTATCGCTTCGCTCAATGAAATAGTATGACTTTTCACCCAAGAGAGACAAAAATGGATTCACGGTATAGAAATATACCTGTATAATATCGCAAGCTTTGACCTTTTAGGATGTTTCAAGATTTGAAAATACACATATCTGTGAATGGAGTCCATGCCATGGACGTTAATAGTACACTACAAGGGCAGAAAGTGTGAGATTCCTGCACTGCGCGCCATGATGCCCGAGGCGAAGCCGAGGGCATCATGGCGCGCAGTTCAGGGCTTTCACACTTTCTGCCCGTGTAGTGTATACTATTTTTCTTACTACCTCGGCCGAAAATACAACCCGGCCGAAAATACGGGAAAAAATTAAATGTGTATTTATGTACCTATCTCCATTTGAACAGCTTGATAAATAAATAACAGTAGGCCGTGAATTCAGCGGTGCCAATACAGTAAAAATAAAACGTATTTTAATTAATAAATTACTACTTTATAACAAATAAAAGTACCATAAACACTTAAAACAACTTAAAAAGTAAAGAAATAAAAACATAAATTGTTTATTTGTTGTTATAATTGCAAAATTATGGTTTAAAACTGTCATATTTTTGTGTTTCTCATGTTGGCAGTACGAAATTTGAGTGTTAAGCACACGACTAAAAAATTTTTACTCCCGCTATTAGAGTGTGAGCGTATAGCTTGACCAATGCATAAAACGTAAACTTTCTGCCGTGGAATCGGGGACGAAACAACGTATTTTGAGTCGAGGACCTCGACTCGAGGTAGTAAGAAAAACTTATAACTGGTCAGTCAAGACCAATTCCCTCAAAAGAGAAAATAAACTGTTTTAGAAGAATAAACCAACGGACTTTAAAAACAAATACAGCAAAATGTAGCTTGGGAAATGATGTGGGGTTAAAAAATAAAAATAAATTGTTTCCCTAAAATTAAAAATAGATGTGGGAGCGTGTTTTATTCACAGGATTTTTTTAGGAATTCCTATGACAAGCGAAAATAGCCGTAAATATAAATTTTGACACGCGCGATTGTTTTGAGTGCCATTTTGACATAGGTTTTTCTATGCATTTTGACAATTTTTAGTTGATTGCTTTGAAACTTTAACTTAATAAATTAGATAAATTAAGCACTTTGAACTTTGAAAATTGTCGAATTTTTGCTAAAAATCGATTTTATTTCATTAAAAATAAGTTTTTTTAAGGGACTAACTTTATGATTTATTTAAAGTTAAATTAGTACTCATGACCAATGATGCTAGGTTAAAGTATTTGATTAAAAAATATATATACGAATTTGAATGTTTGCATGTCGGAAAAACGGTTTTTACAATATCTCAAAAACAAAGGCTAATTGAGCAAAAATATGGTTATTTTTTTAAATAAGCGCACCCAAATTACCCCAGAAAAGTTGTTGGCCACCCTGTGGCAAAATGGCTGTTGACCAGTGTAATACGTCCAATACAAAAATTAGAATTTAGAAAATTATAAAATGAAATTTCCTTCTACATGGTGTCCTGAAAACGGCGCATTAGCATTATTTTAGTATAAAAAACAGATTACTTGATTTAAGGTAGTTGTCATGGTACAATATTGTCAAAAATTTTTAGATTATACGGTTATTTATAAACAATTGGACGGTCAAAAATGTTTTTTTAAACTCAGCAAAAATACATTAAGACTGTTAGTTTTTTTAATGCTTCTGACAGTTAGTTTTTTTATAACTAAGAAACTGGTACAGAACTACAGAAAGCGTATACAATCCATGTTAATTATCCAATTTTTAATTGAATTTTTCTCGGGTTATAGACGGTCAATCGACTTCAACTACTTAAGTAAGCATTTAGGTTTTATTAAATGGCACTAATATAATATGAATGTCTTATTTTGGTGTAAACTGTTGGACAATAAACTATATTATTATTATTACTACATTTACTAGGAAACGAGAGAACTATTGTAGTGGAAACCTGTAATAAGAAAACGCTTTACTATTTGCTTCAGCAGCGCTCAGAGCCATTTTGTTTTTATCCTTGGATTTTGACGGTTGCGTATATTGTTTTTGATATTGTTTTTATTCTTATTTTATTCTTATACACATAACATGAGCAAAAAGTGTATAGTTTCCAGTTGCGGACAGCTAACAAATCGGTAAGTAAAGTAAAAATCAAGTAAAGTAAAAATCAAATTAAGGTTAAGTAAATATAATTAATTATTAATTCTTGATTATTGCTTATTCTTAGGTATGTTTTGCCTAAAAATGAAGGGCAGGCTTCTATATGGCTACAACGAAGTGGTAATAGGGAAATGGAGAAGAAAAAACAAAAAAATGCCACAATTTGTCCTCGGCATTTTAGCAACCAATGCTTTTTAGAATATGGTTTAAAAGGACTGAAAAAAGGTGCTTTACCTTCTTTGTTTTTGCCAGGTGTGTAAATGTTTTATTATGGTTCTTAATGTAATGTAATGTAATTTTTATTCTATAATTTAGATTACACCTCAACTGGTGTGGAAGGAGACAATTTCTTTTTTGTGAAACGGGAATCACCTACAAGAACCCATATTCCAGGAATATTAAAAGGTACCATATAGATAATTATACATAGATAATAATAATAATATTAAACTTTATTGGAAAATCCAAATGGCTAACAACTTTCGTCTTCCTGCCCTCACATAGATAATATTTAATTCAATTATGTTTTTAGCATTGGAAATGCCAGCATTGCCGTCAACGACTGGTGAGTTTTCCCCTGTAGCAAAAGTGAAAACACCAACAAAAACCTATGGCAAGAGGATAACAGGTAAAATATAATCAGGTAGCATTCTCAGCTTTTATATTGGAATTTTACCTAGTATTTGCATAATGCTTCATAATAATAATAAATAAATAGGTAATACTTTATTTATTTTTTAGATACTCAACCCAAGCGACTGAAACCGATGTTTGAAGATGAGGAGCCCATTGAAAACATTATTGAAGGTACATATGCAACACCAACTTCGGTTTATAATCTTGAACTTCATGTGTTATTTTAGTATTTTGGACATGTATTGTTATACTTAATTTACTTATTAATATTTTCAGAATCTGATAAACACCAGCCTTCCACTTCACAGGAAGGACTCAGTTACATTAAGTTTGATAAACACCGGCCTTCCACTTCACAGGAAGAACTCAGTTACATTGAATCTGACAAACAAAGGCCTTCCACTTCACAGGAAGAACTCAGTTACATTGAATCTGACAAACAAAGGCCTTCCATTTCTCAAAAGGGCACCAGGGCTCAACCTTCTCTTCATTCAACTAATATAACACGTATGTTACCTATTTAATGATAACTTATCACAGAGCCATAGTGAGTGTGAGGCACCAGCCTCAGATGCCACTGCAAAGGGGCGCCAGATCAATTTTAAAAAGTTTTTAATTTAAAAATGGGTTGAAAATAATGATGGGAAAATTACTCATACTAAATTTACAAAAAAATTGGCGGGTAAATAAACGAAATAGTAATAATTCTTATTTTTTATAATTTTATTTTTTAAAAATTTATTTTGAAAATTAAAAAAAAAATAAGAATTACTATAGGTATGGTTTATTTATCCGCCAATTTTTTATGAATATAGTATGAGTAATTTTCCTATCATTATTTTTAACCCATTTTTAAATTAAGATGAGGCTCTCTTATGTAGGTATGCAAGTTTTATGATATATTTTGGTTATTATGTATTTTTTAAATGCATATTATTAACATAATAATAACTTGCTGATTTTGATGAAACTGCTGGTTTTTAGTATTTTGTAAGGAGATTAGATTAACTTAATGTTTTTAGATATTAGGATTATTATATAGCAGCTAGGGCATTCTTAGTGAATATATAGTTTTGAAATTTTTTAAAAGTAATTTAAACGGGGAGAGGGCGCGAAATTTTAAATTTGCCAGAGAAGCTCACTACGGATCTGATTTATCAGTATGAGAGGAAAGATTCAAATCTGAATTTTTAACAATGCTCTAAAGGGGCCGTCATAAATGATGTCACACTTTTTTTAATAATTATGGGACCCCCCCATTCGTCTACCGTACGAAATTTTTGCTTAAAAAAATCTTAATAGCCTGTTTATAAACATTAATTACATTCCAAAAAAATATTATACTTCACCTTATTTAACCTAAATTAATTTTCATAAAAGAATGTCAAAAGTCAGCGCGCGTCAGGCTTACTCGATTAACAGAGTAGAATCTACTCCATACGCAAGCTTCCGTTAACACAGAGTTGGCTACACGGAATATCAGTGTTGAAACAACCCTTTCATTTTTACCAGTGTATACATACATAAAAAATTAAATTACAAACGTTTAAATAATAAATTTACAATATTTTGTATTTTTATTAGATATTTTTGCTCGAGAAATTTTCTCCCTAAGTACGAGGGGTATTTGCTTAAAAATTTACCAGATAATTTTCATTCAAGCTTGTTGTACAATGTACAAATTTCACTCGTTCTTCGAACTAAAAAAGCAAGGAACTATAATTTAAAATAGATAATAAATATATAAATACCTTTTTTAAAGTGGACAATAAAAAATTAATGAATTTAATGTTTTAACATTTATATATATTTACACTCCAAAAACATCACACTGACATCTGCAATAAATATCAAGCAATTAACTTTTAAATATTTGAATTTTATTAATAAAAAAAATTGTAAAATATTTTTTAATTTTGTGACATCACAACCTGCTTACCCCCCCTCCACGGCTGTCACAAACTGTCACATTTCCGACGACCTCCCCTTCCCCCTAAGTGTGTGACATCATTTATGGACGGCCCCAAATACGTCTTAAATTTATATTTGTAAGTAATTTGAGGTTAATTCATTTTATTAATTTAGTTTTTTATTGGTAGGAAAGAAAAACCAGTTAAAAAATAAAAGCATGGCAGTACGGCGGACAACGGTGCAGTTACAAAAGTTTGATACACCAAATATAGGTACATCAAACCTAATTAGCCTAATTGAACAAAACCGCGATTTCTTAGAGACGGTAACTACGTCTAATGATGTGTCCCTCAATTTTTTTGCTTCAAATATGCGCAATTTACAGTGTAAGCCTAAAGGGCGTAGGTTTTCATTGAAGGACAACATATTTGCTTTGTCTTTATATAAGCACAGTCCCCGCGCTTACAGATTCCTATCCAAATTTTTTTCTTTACCGTCCCGCAAGACACTTACCAATATGTTAAATAAGGTGCCATTTTTGGCGGGTATAAACCCGGCCATTTTTAAACATTTAAAAACGTCGGTCGCTAAACTGATTGCGGAGGATAGGAATTGTATCGCCATGGTCGATGAAATGGCCGTACAACCTCACCTTCAGCATAATGAACGATACGATTATATAGAGGGCTTTGTGGATTTGGGTGGTGGTAATCGACGGATTCAATTCGCAGACCATGCTCTTGTATTTATGGCTAAGGGCATTCGTAAGGCGTGGAAACAGCCAGTCTTTTTCGGGTTTTGTGAAGGCACTACAGCAACGGACGACTTAGTAAAATGCATAACAGATGTTATTAAAGAGTTGGAACTGGCCGGTCTCACAGTAGTTGCGACCGTAAGTGACCAAGGAGCCACCAATCGCGCCGCTATAAATAAACTCTGCAACAAAAAAACAGGAGAAGCACTTTTATACCATCCCACAGGCGAAAAGGGCGCAGAAATTGTTCATCTCTTTGACCCTCCTCATTTATTAAAAGGTATTAGAAACGGTCTCTTGACCAAAGATCTTAAATTCAAAGTGGGTGAAGATGAGAAGGTGGCTTCTTGGGAACATATACTTAACTATTATGTGTTGGATCGGAAACAGGGGGCTTATGTGCATTGTACTAAGTTAACGGACGAGCACGTGTTGCCTAACAAAATCCGAAAAATGAAGGTTAAAATGGCTTCACAAGTATTTAGCCACACGCTTGGATGTGACATGCACCAAAGAGCAAGGATTACAAAGCGACTGAATTTGCCACCGTCTGATCCCGACTTTCTGAATCCTCAAGCTATGGATACCGCGGACCTTATCTTGTTTCTGGACAAACTTTTCGACAGTGTGAATGGTTTAAAAAGGCGACCTCCTCCTGGCAAGCCCCTACTTTCTGTGGTCACGGAAACGTCTGACCATCTCTCTTTCTGGACATCTGCAATTTCCACTTTACGCTCTATGTTCTTTGTTTCTGATTCTACTTCTAAATCTAAATCGACATCTAGTTACCCATCTATAAAAAATTGGATTTCCACATTGCACGGCTTTGTGTATGTGAGGGAAAAAGTGTTAAAACTTTTTGATTTTTTCAGTCCAAGATCATTTAATCAGGACCCTTTAGAAAACTTCTTTGGCCAGATACGAAGCCATGCAGTGGGAAATACAACTTGTTCTTCTTTTATCCATTCTTTTAAATCTTTATTGGTCAGTCGTTTTTCGTCATCGCACAGTGTAGGGTCAAATTGTGAGGAGGATCTGTCAGAGGGACCCTTAAGCACGTTGAAACGTTTTGTCCTTCAACAGGAGAACGTCCCAGTTTCAGAAGGGGCAATTGAACGAACACCTGTCAAAGAGGCTCTGGCGACGGACTTCGCAACAGACTATGTTGCTGGCGCGATTTTAAAGAAATTTTTTCGGAGGTTTTCTTGTGATGCGTGTTATAAATATTTATCCTCCGCGCAGCCATTGCCCGAACACCTGCAAGTAAGGCAATTTGAGGGACACAATCTAATTAATCCTGATTATTTATTCTCATATACTTTGAACAACACAACAATTTTTATATTAGAGATTCTGCCAAGTATTATACATAAATATGGCATAAAAAAAATTATACTGACGGAACTTCAGAACCAACATTTTCAGTTCCTTCTATGCGATGAGCATATTCATTTAAAACACGACGACCTTTTTAAAGTAATTATAAACGTTGTTCTTTTTGATTACATTAAGTTGCTTAATCGGGTTTTAAGGGGTATTGATTTGAGATTGATCGACTCCAATGATTTATTTAGGAAGGCCCACGAAAAATTTCTTAAACGGATTCCTAAATCCAAACGTCGGAGACAAGAAGTTTATCAGAGGTCTTCCTAAATGAAGAACCTATATATCCTATATTGAAATCTAAAACACGTCCGCATATTTTTTATTTTTAGTTCCTTTTTAAAATTTCTTACCCCGTTGCTGTTCTTTCATCTTCAGTTATGTACTTAATTAGGTTTGATGTACAGAGGTTGTGTAACTGACGTGAACAATTTCATTTATATTTATTTTTCATTGTCATTAATTATAATATGTTACATATACAAATATATAATTGTAAATACTTACGGTTTTACCATTTTATTAATTACTGTACCTAGTTGTAATATCTTAATTGTTTAATAAAATTTTTTTACACAAAGGCTATGTTTTTCCTTTAATTTTTCGGTTGAATGTGCCGCCAAATTAGTTACAGAAAAGTATAAAGTGGTGGCCATAAGTAGAACGACAAACAAATTTATAATGTTAAAACATTTTTTATATTATTCTACTTTTTTAAATATCAAAAGTATTAGTTTTTATATATTTAAAAATAATATAATATTAATTAAATATTATAACCACCAAGTATTTTTATATACATATATTTTGTTGTTTTAAATAATAAAAGTCCAAATTGAAAAATATGGATTTATTTCAAATAAAATGTACTAAATGCAAATTAAACTTAATACATTCAGTTTAATTTGTATTTAATACATTTTATTTAAAATAAACATATATTTTTCAATTTGGTGTTTGATTTTTAAAAACACCAAAATATATGTATATAAAAATTATTTATATTCTATTATGTTTATATTATTTTATTAACATTATTTTATTTTTAAATAAATACAAATTAATACTTTTAATATAAAAAAAGTAAAATAATATAAAATTGTTTGTCGCTCTACTTATGGACACCACTGTATATATAATTATGGCCATCACTGTATATTTTTTATAATGCGCCACTTCTGCTATTACAGAAAACTGTAAATATATCTTTTATAATGCTTCATCGTTATCTCGTCATTCGAAAGATGGCGTGCCAAACACATTTTAACTTTCCAATCTATAAAGGTTATTAATCTATGAATGCAATATCTAGCTTCCTATACCAGGGATGTTATCAATGTTCGCATTCGCGAATAATCGCATGAGATGTATGTTCATTATAGTATAAAAATATATTCATTTATTTTAATCTATGCATTTTAATTTAAAATATCATAATGATCACTGTAAAGTTTACCGCTTAACCAGATAAACGATATCGTATTTAATAGGTACTCTAAAAATTTAAAAGTAAGAAATCATGAATCATAATCTGGCCAAACACAGGAAACCGATTAAATCAACAGTACAAAGTAGATACTGCGTTGTCTCTCTTAACACTACGTCACAAACGAGCCACAAAAGTAAAGTGGGTAGACACACGGCGGTATTCTGGATACACTGCATTGACTGTACTAAGGTCCACACCCAAAAGTCCCACCACGTGACTTTTATATAAAAAGCTAATTTTGTGAAATTTCTTGAAAATAATGCCATATATGTATTTTTTGTGGATAAAGGTCTTAAATAAGAACACACAAAATGCATATATTGTATTATTTTTAGAAATTAAGATGAAATAAGCTGAACAGTAACAGAAAATAAACCTTAATTATTTGTATCCAACGCGGACTTTTGGGTGTGTAGTAAAGTACATATAAAATAAATAAAGTTTATGTAAAAGTAGGAATAACCTTAAAACACATAAAGTTCGTCACACCTCTAAAAACAATGGTCACACCATGTGAATTACTATAGCACACAATGTCACAAAGACTGGACCCCCTTCCCTCCTTAAACGTGTGACGTACTTTATTAGGGGTTTTGAGAAATAAATTGTTTAAATTTGGTTTTATATAAACATGTTTTTTAATAATTAATTAATCAAGAGGTCAAATAACTTAAAAAATACTAAAATATGGTAATTAATTAAAAATATGTAAATTTAATATTTTTTAAATTTTTTTATTATATTTTTATTAGTTTTACTCAATAGAAATAAAAAAATATTTGTTTATTATTAAAACCCATTTTTCAAACATAATTTACAATATCTCAAACAGATAATATGCATTTTGTTTTTTGCAGGAAAATATTCACAAGATATAAAAAAATACGTAAAATATTGGAGAACATTACTTATTTACAAACCATTTAAAGAAAGGACGTATAAACCAAAACAGAAAACTCTCAAATTGACTTTTGTTCTTACCTGGTGTTCTCTAGAAGCTCCTTGAGCTCTTTGAGCATTACATGGTGTTCGCAAGCGACCGACAGGCGGCGCGTCGAGATGGGTCCGCCCCTCATTGACGTCACCAGGGCTAGGGAAGAGCCGTGCCGTATGCCGGCATCGCAGAGCCGGTTTGTGTCTTTTAGTTCTTTTGATTGGAAGATCAGGTTTTGTTGGTAGATTGGTATACCTAAAAAAAGAAAAGAAAATCTGATGAACGATTATCGTAAAATGTTATTTCAATCAGGGAACTTGACTAGTCCACCGCCCTCGGTGGTGTAGTAGTTAGCACTGCGGACTACAAGCCCAGAGGTCGTGGGTTCGAATCCCACACCATGGGTGGCTGTTTAATTGTGTGTGTCAGTGTGTACTCTTGTAATTGGGTCTGGTGCCTGTTGGGAGCACATTAAAATAATACAATAATAATAATAAAAAAATAATTTTTTTGTGAAAAATGTAATGCTCATCAGTCCGCCAGTCAGTTAAATTAAAATTATTTTCACGTTAAAGTGAAACACCCTATTTTTTAAAATAATAATGGTATTTGTAACTTTAATAATGTCGTTTACACGATAGTCCAATTAAAAGAAAATATTTAGAAATGTCTGTTATTTTAAGCAAAATTTTAAACAAATTTTAGGTCTAGTCCAACCATAGATTAAAAAAGGTTAGGAAATCCTATTATCAACATGTAAACTGAAAACTTGTAAGTATGCCCTTTTTTTCAGCATGGTTTTATACTGTTAAGATTGCTTTGAAACCTCATAATATACATTTTTATCTACAACCGTTCTATAAACCAATCATGTTTTTTTTTACCCCCTAGTCTGAAAAAACCTGTTTGGACCAATAAAAAAATTCCTCGAAAAATTCGACTACTGTAATTTCTATCTTACCCCACTTCCTACTTTTAAAAATTATTTTTATAAACTTTGAGCTCAGCACAAAAATACTTACTTCTTAGCCTTATGACATAAATAACTATTAATTTCGGCTTGGTTAACAAGATAAATAAAATATACATATATTATTTACATGTATGAAAATATTTTTTTTATTTGGCCATTATTAAGGGTTCACAAAATATGAAAAAAAAAAGATGCAAAAATAACATGTCTGCAATATAACGTTGTCATTATAATAATTATTATATGTTATTAAAAATTGACGTCGGAGGCTAATTAAATAAAATTACAAAAATTATTCTCGTTATTTATACATATATTATTATATATATTTTGTGACGCGCTCTGAGAAGGGGCCTAACCGTCCCAGCACGGCGTTCTCTATAGAGAGTGGTCCTAGTCATAATTATCTGAAGTAAGAAATAATTTTCCTTAAATATTTTGCATGTAACAACGCGTTAAACATTCTCCGTTTGTGCTGCCGTCCGTTTTCTTTCCTTTCTTCTCTAAAATAGATTAATTAAAGACTTTAAAATCTGACGTCAGAAATAAAAAATAGAAATACAACATTAAACAGGGATTAAAATTCTTACTTTACCTGATGGCTTTTCTTGTGTTTATTTTAATTATCAATAAATAGGATTATTTTGTTTTCAATTTCGTTACATGTGTTGCATGTATGTACTATGCTCCACACACCACGTGACGTTGGTTCTATGGCGTAAAATATCATCCCCCAAAACTTATTTCATGACGTATGTATAAAATTACATGTCCTGACTGATTTATCAAGGCCCAGGCCAAACCGCTGAACCTAAATTTTGACAGGGCATTCCTATAATAACATGGATAACCGCCAAGAAAGGATTTTTTGAAATTCCATCCCTAACGAGGTAAATTAGGACACTCTACAATTCAATTATAATTACGTAATCGTAATCCTGGGAGTACTCCCATTGTTTTAAGTATTTAACGGATTTTGAAGAAATTTGGGAGGCTTTGAAACGGGACGGGACAAACAAGGACACTTTCGTTTATATACAGGGTGTCCGGGAAAAGGAGGTCAATCCGTTAACCATATATTCCTTGAGTTAAAACAATAAGACTTTCATAATACCATTTTTCAATTTAGAGCTTCATGTTCGATATATAGGGCGACAAAGTTTGAAATTTAAAACTGTTTTTTTTTAATAATTCGAGTAATTGATAAGATATTAAGTTCAAATTCGGTACACTACTTCAACATAAATAGTTACATTTTTTGAGACCAACAAAACAAAAAAACAATTGTCAATTAATCAAAATTGGGGGGTCTAGTACTCACTGACTCCCCCTATTTTTTAGTACGTGCGCCAATGACTTCCAAACGGTATTTTTTCAGGTAATCATTTACTATTAAAAAAATTTTGTCTCCCATAAAATTTTGATAAAATTATTTGTTTTAGAGATAATTTGTAAAGTATAGGTCAGTCCATATCAAATCAACCACAGGTTCTTCCCCCACCATCTGCGATTTTGATAATTTTTGGTAAATTTGTTTACCTCACTAAAAAACTCAAAAATCCCATATATGATTTTTTTTCGATTGGTGGTTTTTGTTTAATTGATTTTTGAAAATCAAAAAACTCCGATAAATTTGGGTCTTGCAAATACTTACAAAAATAGCGATATCTCGTAAACTATTAAAAGTAGAAAGGTGAGTTATGGCTTATTTTAAAGGCCTATTAGAGACCTTTTTTATGATATATCACATGACAAAAAAAAATTAAATTTCCAAAATTTGATATGGACTGACCCATACTTTACAAATTATCTCTAAAACAAATCATTTTAACAAAATTTTATAAGAGATAAAAAATTTTCAACAATTAATGATTCCCTGAAAAAATACCGTTTGAAAGTCATTGGCGCACGTACTAAAAAATAGGGGGAGTCAGTGAGTACTGGACCCCCCTATTTTGATTATTTAACAATTGTTTTTTGTTTTGTTGGTCTCAAAAAATGTAACTATTTATGTTGAAGTAGTGTACCGAATTTAAACTTAATATCTTATCAATTACTTGAATTATTAAAAAAAATCAGTTTTAAATTTCAAACTTTGTCGCCCTGTATATCGAACATGAAGATCTAAATTGAAAAATGGTATTATGAAAGTCTTATTGTTTTAACTCAAGGAATATATGGTTAAAGGATTGACCTCCTTTTCCCGGACACCCTGTATAAAGGGTGTCCCAAAATTGGCACCCCAAAGGGTAAGGGTGAATTCCTCTCAAAATTTCCTTTACCAAAGTTTTAAATTTTTTAAGGCCACTAATGAGAGCGCAGTGTATCTGCTCTATCAAACGAGACCCGCTCTTTGACTAATTTTAAAATTCATTTTTTTTGCATTTTTTCCTTATCTCACTAAAAATTATTTTCAGTTTTCTAAGTTTATTTTTTCTGTACTACGGATAATAACGAAAAATTGCCCAAGTCAAATTTCCGTTTCCGTTTAAAATGCTAGTAGTGTTTTAAAGGCTTGAAAAAAAAGACGATTTTTTCTACAGGGTGCGGAAAAATATATTTTTTCGGAAAAATTGGATTGAAAATAAATTATGAATGGCCTTACTAAATAAAAATAACAGATTTTCCTTTACCATTTTTTCCAGTTATTTAATTTTTAAAACCTCCAATAATACTCTATCGGACGAGCTTTCATTATATTTTTGTGCAAAAAAGACGCTAATATTTTAACATTGGAAAAAAGTAAACAAAAACAAATTTGGCGCATCTTTCGAAAGTAGCATTTTAACTTGACCGTTTATTTTAGTTAATAATTGGTTAAATATTTGAAATATTAACCGTACAGTAAAAAAAGTTGAAAAACGACCCTTCAGTGATTTCAGCGCTAGGCTGAGGTATTTTATGAGAAGCTTGCTCAGCTAAGCATAGGAATTTTACTAAATGTAAGTGATTTTACAGGATAACAGTAAATTTAATTAATTTTTAATGAAATTTACTTGTCTGGGTGTACGGTTGGGTTCAAATATTTGCAAGGCTGAGCCTAGCCTAAGTTTTTGCAAATTAAAATTAATTTATTTGGCATCACTGGTTAAAATTAAATTAAAGCTTTAAAACAAAATAGACATAATCTAAATGTAAATAAACTATAGTGTCCGACCAAAACACGATTTTCAGCCCAAACCGTAACCAAATATTCGGCTCCTCTTCTAGTTTAGGTCGAAACTGAAACTTACTGAAAATTTAGTTAAATTGTCATTATATCCTGAATTTTAATGTTTTTTATAGCTCTGTAACAGACTATTTAATTGGATTTAAAAAAAATTGAATTTATAAGGAAAACACTTTATTTTGGAAACGTAGGTGCAAAATTATTAAGATCCGACCGAGACCTAGGTCTCGGCTATTCTCAGCCAAAAATCAGGCCGAGACCATTGGAATTGTCAATAACAAATTTAAGTTCCTTACGATTTTTTAAATTAAATGCAGAAAATAACTCCCATGAGTCTATTTTTAAATAGTTAGTCTTTTATTATTTTGAAATTATGTGGAGAAATAGATTGGCATTATTGAACAATTTAAATCCTCAATGGAATATGTAGGTTTTTGGTGGATTTTTTTATCAGATTTATAAAAACTTACAATGCTATTCATGCTGATTTGTTTTAATATTTTAAATAATATTGTTTGTTTTCCAAAATAGTTAACACTATAGCTAAACGTGTTGAAATTATTATAAATAGTTATTTTCTGCATTTAAGTTAAAAAGCTAAAAATTTAAGTGATTTGATTATTCTTGAATATTTTGTTTATTTATGCTTTCTTAGTTTATTATACTTTTGTTAGAAATATTTTGTGTTTTCAAGTTTTTTTTCTAATGTTTTTTTTAGTACTGTTTAGCAGTTTTCAAGAGCTTTCACAAAGAGGACGTTGCCATTTAAAAAAATTGAGTTGGGGTGGCTACAGCTCCAGGGGTTGCTTGGTCATACCGATTATATATCATAGAAACGGTTTTGAGAATTTTTATTTTTTTTAGGGTCCAAACTTATGGAAGTTTTTAAATAGACCACATACACTAAAATATTACTTATTTAACACCATACACTTTAGAATTAGAAATTCTTAAACCAACCATTGTTATCACAGACCAGTGGTCTGTGATTGTTATTGTAAAACTATAAAGATTTATTTATTTTTAACACTTAAACATAAGAGGTAAACGTATAAATATGATTTCTTGAGTTGACTACCTATACTTTGACAGATACATAACCTAAATTGCCTTAGGTGCCAAATTTTTAAGACTGCATTCCATACAAAGTCACGTGGTGGGACTTTAATCTGTGGAGCATAGTACATAAATTTAAGTTTAATGACCGTTCAACTATTAGAGTTTATACAATTCAACTATTATTAGAGTTTATACAATTTATAAATATCTCCAGGTTATCTGTGAGCTGAAGCTGACAATCTAAGTTATAGTTTATTTGTGAAAATACATGTACCTTCCTATTATAGTTTAAAAAAAATATAATGTTCTAGATATTAATTTAATAAAAAACTATTGTACCTAAATATGGTTATATTTTATAATTATTTGTAAGAATTTGTATTAAATAATTAGAGTTTCATCTGTAAACGTTGTAGTTTTTTGGGATAATAAATGTAATTTATTTATTTATTATTTTATATAGGTAGGTACTTTTGCATATTTATTTTTTATGCATGTATGAAATTGGACACAAATACAATTCCTAAATCGGACTCTTAATTTGAAACGGTCCCTCCTCGGGTCCCTACACATTAATTTTTATATAAATATAAAACATTATAATAATGCTTAGGTCTTTTGGGCTACTATTGAATAGAAAGTGCACTTATTTACAATTAATTGCCAACAAAAACATAATTTATAATTAGCTGACCACCACTGGGTATTTATAAATGTTGTTTTATTTCCAATTAGGTGTAAATAATTGGAGCATATAAATCCATAATTTATGTTAATTAATAGGTAAGTTATTGTTAATTCACCTAAAGGAATGCCAAAGCAAAGTGCAACAAGGAAGCAGATATTTTATTTTTTATTTAATTTTGTGGAAAGTTATGTATACCATTTAGTATGTAAGAAATTTGTAGGTATAAGGAGAAAATTAAACTCATGTTAAATTTTAAAGATACCTGCATTATGTTCTCACAGAGGTAAAAAACTTCCAAAGTCTAATGCATGAATAAAATGATTTTTTATTAAAATCCTTATACCTGCTCTCACCCACATAACCCATGAATTAGTTTCTTGCAAATTTAAAACTCAAATTACTTTTGTCTCTTAACTGTAATAACATCCTGATATTAAGTAACATTGTTATCATTTCAATAATAACTTTTATGATACATAAACCCACATGTTCTAAACTAAAATCTAATATTAGCCTTGTATTGACCACTCATTCAGTTTTTGCATGCTTATGATTTTAAATAAAAATGGCGCAAACGTCGTAGTTTAAATCTTTAGTTTTTTGCTCAAATTTACTACGAAATAGCAACAATTCATTTATTACATGACTGCAAAGTATTATTAACACTATTTTACAGGTTTAATCAATCAATCAATCTGAGTTTAATGGTTTAGAATAAACTCAATACAAAGATATTTAACCTTAAGTATTAGAGTAGTAAGATTAATTATTTTCTAGGGGTTCTTACAATAAAATCCGCCGAATATACAGATTTTTATTTTCTGTCAAATTTTTTTGACCATAATAAAAATGGGGCCCCATTATGGGGGACATGGAATTTTGAATGACATTATTACATGGACATCATTATTGTATCTTTGTTATTTACAGAATCACACAAGACAACCAAATTATGATGTTCAAAATTTTGTGTCCAATATGTACCTATTCTGAGCTTAGATTCTGTGTAATAAAATAAATTAATTTTTTAAATTATCTAACCTAAAAAGACAGTTACCTTTATTTAGAAAAAATTGTGTATTTCATGATTACTATCTATTAGTCATGACCAAAACAAATCATTTCCTTTAAAAACAATAAAAATAGTTACTTCAAAATCCATTTTGTAGGTTATTAAAACGCTTAAATATTAAGTCCAAGCAAGGTTTACAAAACACGTTTAACCTTCAGTCTATAAATTGTATTAGTAAGAATCATGTTTTTGTAAGGGTTCTTTGGTTAGAAAATTGTGTAACATACCTTCAACGCGATAAATTTTCTTCTTAATGTCCCCTATGGTGTCTGTGGAGTAGACTTTCATATCGAAAGACGTACCCATTAATGTTTTTATCTGAATTTCCATACTTGGTTCATCAAAATAATCAGAGAGCCCATCATCTGACATATTTACTTTAAAAATTACAATGACAGGTGACAGCTAGCAAAGTTCACAATAATTAAACAATCACCAGTTTTTTTTATCACACAAACACCAAATATTTATAAAATTGTACACTGGTCAGTCATTATTTTTACTAGATCCCGGCGTTATTCCCTCAACACCTTCTGGTTGAAAATGTGAAACCTGGAAAGAAAGAAATGCGTCTTTAAAAATTAATTTAACAGAAATGGTTAATGTTAAGTTTATTTATTATGTTTGTGTACATATCTACGCTACCTGATAAAACTATTTAATTTTAGAACTAGCGAATTATTTTTAAATTGTGTTCCTTACCTCATTACGAAATTGTGGCTTCAAAAGATTAAAATAAAACAGCTTTAAAAACTGCTAATGATGATTTTCACCAAAGTTGACGACACTTTCATTACTACCAACAGCAAAAAAATTACTGAAGCATTTTCTATGACTCAACAATTATTTAAACAACGTATGGGCATTAGTTTTTATACCTTATTAGTTTTATTGTACCTGCATTTTGCTGTACCTCGGAAAATATGCGCGACAGATTTATTTTTGGCCTACAATACGATGTCGACTTTTGTCAGAGAGTTGGCAGCCCTGACTTTCATCAGCTGGCTCTCGGTATAATTTGAAGGGAAACGCCTGAATCTCTAAAAAATCTTTTCTAAAAATTCTTAATATTTTTTAACGATTTTTGTTTATTATTCATTTTTTATCTTCCTGATATTTTTTGGTATTTTATATTTATATACATTTAAAATTAGATTATTTTTTTAACAATTTATTATAAAATTTTGGTAAATGAAACAAAAAGTTTTCTATTCTTTATATTGATTTATTACACGCCTATCTATATATACATAAATGCAAATAACACATACATCTATAAACACAAAAAAACAAAAATAGATATTATAAATTAAAAAAATATATAAAACTTTTGAGATCCAATAATTTAATTTATTCAAAATCACTACTTAATCAGTAGGGAGGTACCTAAGAAAATGGGAATGGCGGGATGCTTTTTAAGTCCCCCAGGTCTAAATTATCTTTTATTATCTTACTTTCATTTTGTATTTTAAGACTTTCAAGATTATTCACTATTTTGTTTTGGTCATTATCAAAAACTTTAGCTTTAATTAAATTGATTTCTTGCTGTTGATTTGTAATACCGTTTGATAATCTGTCAATAACAATCTTTAAACTTTTAATATCTTGCTCATAACGTTTCTCCTGCCTCACAACAAGTTTTAAAGCTTCAACTAGCATGTGATTTTCCTCACGGAGTCTCTGAATTTCTTCGTCCTTATTTTTTTCTATAATTATAAGAGATTTTTTATTGCTCTCCAAAGAACAAGTCATGGGGTTTGTGAAATTGGATCCCACTTGAAATGGGGAACTGGCTCCATGTAACTCATTTTCCCTGCTAATGTAACAGATCTGGTACATGTCTGTTAAACTTTTTGGCAAGACATCCTCTAAAATAAAAACGCTATTAATAACATCCACAATTAGGGGTTAACATTAACACGTTCGCTAATATTAAAAAATAATTTATATCTATATAGATCATTGTCATACAATGACTTTTTGAACAAATTAATAAAATTATGGTTATATCCATAATTAATTGTGATTACCTACTTATATCCATAATTACAGCTGCCATTATATAAACAGATGGTCTAAAAATTAGGACAGCTCCATAATATGCATATTATGCAGCAAGTGAGTCTGAGTTTGTGGAAAGTTCTAAATGAATACTGAAATTCATGAATTTAGAACTTCACAAGTAAATTACTCAATTGCCAATAAAAACATAAACTTTACGTTAAAAATAGCATAACCACATAAAGAGTTTATTAATTATTGTTAAATTCACTCCTTAATAATTATTTGAAATTCATGCAAATATGAAAGTCTCTGCTTTTGCGGTCAAGCAGGTATTTTTACAGTACGTTAGATAAATCTTGCTGGATGTAAAATATTTATTTGGGGAAATTTGATTTGCAACCAATTATACATTAATAGTACATTATTATACGAGAGATAATGCGTCTCGAGTCGCCGGACGAGAGACTTAAATTATCCGAGTGAATAATGCTCATAATCTTAAGTGTAATACTATACTTTAGCTACTCCAATAAGTAGATAATTATAATTAATTAATTAATTGATTTTCAAAAATTAATAAATAAAATCTGACATCTGTCCAATGATTAATTTTAATTGTTATAATAGTCGCCTTCCGCCAATTTAAAACCTGATTCGTCAAATCACAGTGGATATTGAAATCGGCCAATCACTGATGCCCAACAACGAATTTATAATGTTTTTCATTATTCATAAAAAAAACAATTTTATGCAATAGAAGTAGATATTTTAAACACTAATAATTTTGGTCCCCAAAAATTACCAAAAAATACATTTTAAGTTAACTAAAATAGGAACGTTTAGACAATTTTCAAAATATATGCAATTTTTTAGCTTGTTAAACATAGAGTCTAACTCGCAGCAGAGCAGCAACAGCAGCCCAGCAGATAAGACCTGAAGATGGTACATGAGATTATACCAAAACGTCGACGTCAGACATACGGTTTTAAGAACCAAAAACCGACAACACCGAGCAGATCCCGGAAAATACATATAACGCCTGTGGAAACCTTAAGCAGAACATAGATCATTATCAATGACATAGAAATATGTCAAAAGTCAAAGGCTTATATCATCAAACAAACAACAGTGCGAATATTATACAATTAATCTTGCTTAAATTGTGATTCTTAAGAAAACTATTTTAAGTTGACAGTCTTAAGATCTTTATTTTTAGCTTAATTGGATATTCTTAAGACAGTTAACTTATATATCTACCAGCTAGCTAGATTCTAGCTAAAGAAAAATGACTGGCAAAACTCAAAGTATCATCTTTTTTTTCTTTCCCCAGTAACTTTTTCTATAATTTAACATTGGGAAGTTTATGTTAAAATGTCCAATTTATTTGAACAAAGTAAGAAGGGACAAATTTATTATTATTTTGCCAGTTTGGCCAATATCAAATATAAGACAAATCAGTTTTAAGTCATTTAAAAAAATATAAGGTTCAAATTAATCATTAAGTTCTGCAAGCTGATGAGCCAACAAAAATAATTCCTCTCAAAAAGGCTTAAATTAAAAAATTGATCTTATAATACCTATCCATTCTATTCTTAGATATATCCAGCTTAGGTTCACATTCATATTACAGTTCTTAATTAAATTGATATTAAGTGCTTTCCAATGTTTTGAGCATGCAATGCAGCCCCAGGTTTTAAGTTTGAGTTCCCATTCCTCTTGTATTTTACACTCATTGTAGGATTGGGGCCGCATTGTGTGGTCAAAACTGTCAAATGGAAAGCTTCTATTATCTTTGATATTTCCAAAAGTGAAGAGTTTGTTTACACTAATGACAAAAAATTAAAAATTTTATTTAGGCAATAGATTCTAGTTGTTTATGGCATATTTCTCTTTTGGGCTTCATAAAATTGGCAAAATGTCAACCAAAAAGAGCTAATCAACTCTGGGTATTTTGGCTGTGGGCCAGTACAGAAACAATAAAACTCTTGTTAAATTTATTTCACTTACTTTTAAAGACCACACTAGATAAATTGCCAATTAATTTTGTCGGGGCCCATTCAAAACAAACATAATCCCTCACTGAAGACCAACCTAGCTTAAAAATAGCTATTCTGTCACCATCTTGGGGCATATATTCAGCAAATTTAAAACTGACGATTAAATCTTCTCCGCAGGAATATTGGTCGTTAATACTTGGAAATTCCACCTACAAATAAGTGTAATGTATTGCGTAATTTGGGTGATTTAGGCTAGAAATGGGGTACTTACATTGTGTTTCATGGATACAAATGAATCAGAATCCATTTTTGATGAAATCCAAGCCCAATGTGGAAAAATTCTATGTCAAAAATAATCAAAACAAAGACATATGATTTGACACAAAACAAATATGGACGCCGAACAAAGCGCCACCTTGAGGCCGTTTTAGAATATTAAATTTAGTACGAAATTTAAAAATCGCTGGGTGATTCAAATTTGTCCTATTCTCTAATTTTCAGGTGTAAATCCGAACCACAAAACAAACCACTTTACAGTCTTGTAGTGGGAGAAAGAGGAGATTTTTCGAGCGTGGACTAATTAACACGCGTGTGGAATTTCCACTTGTGACTAATATTTTATTTGATATATTATTATCTGACATCTTAGGAACAGTTTTAACCTCACTTTTTTTCAATTTTAACTTAAAGTTTGGGGGCTATATATATAGCTTTATAGCTCCATGCCCCCATCACATTATTATTTAAAAATAAATTACAATCATTTAACAATAATAATAATTATTGTTTTTGATAACTTGTTACAACCAATATTTTTTGTTTGTTTTTTTAAATTTAAAACAATTGTTTTAAGTGTCAATTAATTTTAGAAATGTTCATGTTTTGTTAATTTATGAGCTTTTTAAGAAAACAAAAAGCCCATGAACTTACCATTACCCATTACTTAAGACTGATCTTTTTCTTTTCCCATTATTTACTAAATTTAAAATAAAAATTTCTTTTTATTATTATTAATACTAATTCCCTAGATCTAGGACTTTAAGGGCCCCCTACATTTTTTAGCCGCAGGCCCTCATGCCTTAGTCCGGCCCTATTTAAACGATAATGTGTAAAACAATGTGGCCAATTTGTGAATTTCCCTAATGTATGGATATTCAAATAAAACATGTGATATATTGTACGTATTTAATACCACATACAGTAAGTCTACAAATAACATGAGGAAAGCACAAAATACAATTATTTAATCAATAAAATAGTAAAAATGAAGCTTAAATCTAAAATTCTCTTCTGTGATACTTATCGGGATCAAAGTATGAAGTGACCACAACTCTGTTGCTGAATTTTCTTCCTGTTAATGTTTGTTGAGCTTTTTGACAGTCAAGGACAGAATTAAATTCAACAAAAACCTAAAAATAAGAAGAAAATAAATACCACTTGGTAAAAATGTTTTATGTTAAAATTACCTTTCCACAACCTGGAACTTCAACTCCTTCAATTGGTCGTGGGATTTCAATAGATCTGACAACCCCATATTTATTACATTCTTCTTTGATATCTTCAAGAATATCTTCGTATTCTTCTTCGTCTTTAAGTTCATCTGGTGTTACCTGAAGAAAAAACATTATAAATACCTATTAAGTAATATTTTCACTATATTTACCATATTAAGTAGACACAGAACTTCAGTTGGAGGCCCTGAAGCGCCTACCAAACTAAGACCAGGTACTTGTATTTGAACAGCTGGCAATACTGTCGTGTTTTTAGCGCCAACACTGGCCCTCTGCACGATAAGTCTTTTGTCACCAAGCTGCATTCCATTTAGACCCGCGATAGCCTAAAAACGGAAACAAACATAAGTAGGTGTCAACATGTAGAGGTTGTTGTGGTAACTTACCTGATCTGTCATGGTAATGTCAATGTATTCGGCAAAGGCATAGCCTTTGCTAAGTCCAAACGCCGTGTCCTTGACGAGATTGAATGCTCTTAGCTGTCCAAATGACATTAATAGCTCCTTGACCTATATAAACCCAAAATGTTAGGAAAATCGCAATCCAACTTAATGAGATGCAACCAAACTCAAGCAGTAGTTGCCGTACCAATTTTGACAGTTATATAAACCAATAGGAAAATTCCGTTTGACATTTGACATATATCTGACCAATGCGCGTCGATTAGTGGTCAAAGGCAACCTGTTATATTGAGTTTGTTTGCATTAAGTCATATTAAAGTAGACTTACTTATTTTGTTGGAAATAAATGTATTAATCTCCTAAATTTACACTAACGCGCTTACTTAAGGGTAATATTAAAATATCGAAAAAAATAATATAATTAATTTTGATTGAAAGAACGCAAAATTAGAGACTTTATTATTAATGTGAATTGAAATTCTTTAAATTATAAAACACAGCCAGTCAGATAAGGGTATAAGTTTGTTCATGTCAGTCAGACTTGCCTTTTGTTACATCCCGGGACTCAAATTATGTTTAGGCAGTATATCAATAGGGATAAAGCTGATAACCCTAGCTACAAAGGCAAAAAATAAATGAGAAACTTTTACAAAACTAGTCAAGTGAATTTAAAAATTAACATAAAATTTACATTTTCATTGTTAAAACCATGCTGTAACTTAAATATCTGAAAAGTTCCTGAAAACAAAATTTGCAGGTGCTGAAAATAAATTGGCCATTTTAAATAAGAATGAATTCTATTTTTTTGAATGCTCAATCTTACTAAAAATGGTTTTGTTTTCTTGCCATCTTTTTGCCTGTAAAAAATGAGCTGAAACAGAACTTTTGCACACTGAAACAAAACACCTGAAAAGTTCTCTGTACAAAAGAATAAATCTCTGAAGCTGAAATCTTTTTCATCATATACCTGAAAACGTTTTTTTATATTTGTCTAATACATCGGTTTTTGTTATGTTTTGCTGTAAGTGTATAACATGACGCGCGAACCTGTAAGAGGCTGTAAGATAATAAATCAACTGACTGGTTACCGAAGAAATCCCTCTATAGAAGGACTTTATTCCGCTAACATGGCTAAAGCTAAGAAAAATGAGGGCCAAACTCACAAACCATTCACAATCAACCTTATATACATCATATTTCTCCTAGTAGAGTAATTTCAACGCAAGAAAATAATGCATAAAAGATTGCGAGCTTTTACTCAAACTTTTGCGCCGACATAGGGATAGGGAATTTACCTGGTCCTCGTTTAAGTAATTAGGCAGACCACCTATGAAGATTTTGTGTGGTGAATCTGGCACCACTGTACTGATTACCCCGGCTGGTACACTTATGGTACTTTCAGCCATTCCTGGCATCGGCTGGTAATCATGTGGACGACGGATCTTTAAACTTTGCCCTAAAAAACATTTATATAAACATGTTATACCTTGTAGCAATATTTTAGTATTTAATCTTTATACAGAATATTTCACCAATTTATTTTTCAGAAATTAGATCAATATGAATGCGTTTTTCTTTATGTTTGGACCGATTACAAAATCGAATTTTAGTTCCAACCTCATTATTCCAGAAAGGAATTTTGGAATCTACGAGTTTGTTTTAAAAAAAGTTTCTCTTTGTTTCCCAAACAATTTTTGAGAACGCTACAGCGTTTTGAAAACAACAGTGTTCAAAACGGTTCGATGACGTCACGATGTTAAAAGAGATTTGTCAAGAATTACAAATGAATCCAATCTGTTTCTAAGATGGTTTCTAGATTAATTTAAATGTTCTTTAAAGTATTTAAATCGTTTAAAAATCGAGACAAAGTACATACTAAAGGTGCGAATATTAAAAATAATTTTATGAACTTCATACTTAAATAAGGGCACATGGTTATAGGGTCAGTAATTTTGTTCTCTCCCCCCTTCAAAATTTAAGCCTAATTTATAGATTGCCTTCCTTCCTTCTTTTCTTTCCTCTCGTAGAAGATGAACAATATAAAAACCGTTATGCTGTTATATCTAAAAATGGCACTACGATTTTCGGTTTAGCAGACTTTCTTTTAAAAAATCACACTTCTTGACCTGATTAAAGTAGCAACTTTTAATAAACTACAATCCTGTACTACATTTAAGCAGATCTGGTCAATTTGATCTTGAAGATACCCAAAAATGTAATTTTTTTAAATCAGCAAGCAAATTGTCAATTTTTTTAACCCATACGATTTTTGTTGTAATGTTAGGTTTGTTCGGGTTCGCGAAATGAACGGTTAAGAACTGTCAGAATCATGCGCATTACGAAATTTGCGTTCAGGTTTTTTTAGAACCAGTTTGGAACTGGTGAATATAGTGTTTCACAATTGGCAAGAGTTCGGCAAAGCCGATCTTCCACTCTCCCATGTAACATTTGAAGTACATGAATAACTAAATTATTTTTATAGCAATATAATACATAAACAAAATCTTATAACAATATAAAAATAAAAAATTATTAAAAATAAACAACAATTTCAAATTCATTATTCTTAAATGTCTAACTGCAAACTTAGTAGAAGCGACACCTATATGGGATTTTAAAAACCACCGTAAGGGTTTTGGTTTTTCAATATTTTACTAAAAATCCAGAACGGTTTAGAACTACTGCGACTACAGTTCTGCGCAATCTTTAAACAGTTCAGAATTCGAACAAACTTGTTGTGAATAAAAAGGATCAATAATACAAAATAGTATTTTTAATTTAATACACCATGTGCTTTTAAAAAAACAAACATTTTTAAAAAATTATATTTTGCATCCAGATCTACATATTTATGTATTCCATAATAAATAAAATTAAGTATAAAGGATGCTCTTTGATAAATAGTAATTTTGTTTTAAAAAATCGCTAATATGAATTCTTAAAAATTTACTCTTAAAAACTGACATAGTAGGCCTTGTATTTTGTACTAATATGGCGTCTTTTGCTCCAAAAATACAGTTTATCAAGATCTACACTTTAAATAAAACAAATCCGGTTAAAATAGCACAATAAATAAAGATTTTACAGGGGTGAGTCGCAAACAAATGGGTCGCACTGTATATTGTATATTGTTTTATTATATAGTAAATAATTTAATTAATACCTTTAAATAAACTTTTATTCCAACTTTATGTTTGTTTTTATTATAATATGCTATTAACACATACAAATACCCCAGTAAAAATCATAGAAAAAATTAAAAATATTCTTATATCGTCGGTGTTCTGACAAAGAGGCGTAAGGGACATTTTTTCCATATTGGAGTTAAGTTATGTATGTATGTATGTATGTATTTCCTTTTGTCAGATCAACCGTAAAAAATCACTTAGTGAACGTAACTCCAATATGGAAAAATGTCCCTTACGCCTCTTTGTCAGAACAGCGATGATATTTTTTATAGGTTTGTGTTATAAAACAAAACTATTAATAATTATTTAAATTTTTTCTGACTATTATCAAATTTAAATCAAATAATAATACAAAAAAACATAAATCCTCATTTAAAGCTTTATTTTAAATTTTAAACTTGTTTAGACCTGCAAATAAGTTTTTTTTTACTATGCAATAAGTTTGATTGTTCACCAATAAACAAAAAGTTAAAAGAGAATAACAACCCCTATTCTGCAAGAATTATTGTTATGTTTTTTATATGTTGTTTTCCATCTGTTTTTTATTGGTTTGTTATCAAAATTTTTATCTTAGCTTTGATCTCTTGCGATCTGTAGGTTTAGGTTTACTGTAGGTTGTAATATTAGGTAGTAAGCACTTTTTCAATGTAATAACAAAATTTTATTGTTTTAAAGGAGCATAAATAAATTATTATTATTATAATTATATGATTATAATTAAAATATTTTTAAAAGACCCTACCCTGTAATACAGGGCCTGTATCAATTTGCCCTTATTTTATAGATTGATTTTTGAAGTACAAAAATTTATCGAGTTAAAAACGCTTTTTAAGTTGATAAAACACACTTGATAAATTTAAAATTGATGGTAATAATTTTTTTTGATATAAAATTAACATTTTTCACAAAAATGATAAAACTCATATTTGGTAAAAAATATTAATTTTATAACATAATACAAGTACCTTTTTTAGGTAATTTTAACAACATAACTTTTTAAATTTTAAGTTTATTGTAAAAAACGTGTATTATTGTAGTAGTTGAATTTGTGCAATATATTAACTTTTTTTAAAAATTCCCAAAATTGAAGAAAATCGTAAGTCTAATAAATTGGCTAAGGACTGTATGATTGAATTTATTTTTAATAAATTGTGAAGTGGAATTATGACTATTCTTACCTTTAAAATTGATGCCATCAAAGGCCATAGCTTGTGTGGTTTCATCAATGGACCTAAACTCTAAGAAAGCAAAATTTTTATCAAGATTAATCTGGCAAGCCAAAACCGGATTGCCGGCTGCTTGAGCCAAGCCGCTTAAATGCATCTGTTGGTTAAAATACTCCATCATCTCCTCCTCCGTCACCCCGAAAGGTATGTTACCCACATACAAACGCCTAGCCTGTCTGGTGATGGTTGAGCCAACCACCGGTACAGCAGCCTGCGGTGTGTCTGCCACAATGTTGGCAGGAATTTGACCTGCAGCCTGCATAGCTTTGTATTGCAGGGGGGTAATGTGTTCAAAGCCTGGTGGGGGCACATCCCAGTACAGAGAAGGCTTCCTGCGTCTTGAATGACCCGATCTGTGTTTTGGCGAGCCTGATCGGCTTCTTCCCGCCCTCCTGCGGTCTCTGCTTTTAGATCGGGATCTCCTGCGGTGTTCTCTGGATCTGGAACGTCTTCTACGCTCACCACCACCACCACCCCTTTCTCTACTTCTTTCACGTTCCTTGTTTTCTACAAAAATCCGACATCCGGCACTAGTACCGGTAAAATTTTAGCTTGTTGATTACTTACCCATTTTATCTTCTCCCATAACTGATTTAAAACGTGAAAAAAGATTTTCTTATTACTGTTTAAATATTGGACACTTATTTGTTAAAAGTTTAGTAGATTTACGATAAAATGAACACAAAATATGGCCGATTTTTGACGCTTTGACAACTGCCGGTAATGGTAGATTGCGCTCATACCGACGTCACACCGCCAAATTCAAATATTAAATTGTGAGAATCATCAAGAAAAACAAACAATTTTAGTTTGTTTATATGATATTTTATTTATATAGGGTATCTTATCTGATATTTTATTTATATAGGGTAGGTATAAAATAATTTTTGACAAAGAACTGTACACGTGTTTTTCATTTTTATTTGTGTCGGGTTTTATTATTGTTTTTCGTTCTGTGCCAAATGCGGATAATAAAAATCCGAGTTCAAGGAAGAAAAGAACTGCGTATTTTTGACGTTTATTTTGAAAATCGAGTGTACTACGAAGTTCAAAAATACATAAAAGCGACAAAGGAAAATTAGTGGCCAAGTTCATTTTAAAATAGATTTGGTTCCTAGTTTTTGGAGAGTCACAGTCTGCGCATACATTAAAACCTGCTAGAATGAAACAAAAACAATCAATTTTCCGTGAAATATAAAGACAGAAAATAGAGAAACAAATAATCAATCGAGCAAGTGCAACAAAGACGGACGCACAAAGGCAAAATATCGAGTTGATTTGGTTGGTAGTGTTCTGTGTTTAGACTGTGACGTGGTTTGAAAGCTGAAAGGTGATTTGCAAAATATTCTAATGTCATTTTAAAAACTCTCAGCTGTTTACAGGGTGATTGACTTCATTTGACGTCTGGATTTTAGTATAGTGATTGTTTCGTGTTTTGGACAAAATTACCCACTAAATTGTGCATTAAAAACGTTCAAACATTAACACAAGTTAGAAAACATGAGCGAGTTAAGTCAGGAAGAGGTGAGTAGGGTTAATTTACTGTCATTCAATGTGTTAATCATTGGATTTTTTTTATTAAATTACTTCTGATTGAATGATCAATAGGCTCAAATTAACAAAATCATCAATTATAAACCTATAATTTAACTCTATCACTCTTAACTTTCTAAAGACAATATAAATCAAATAACAAAGACACAAATTACTCCACAATTTTTATCATCAATTATTTATCTTGCATTAATATTCAAACAAACAATTCAAGGCCTCAACAATATTGTTACAAAACAAATGAATTCTTTTAGATTCGAAGAAGACGATTGGCTCGTCTTGCAGGCCTAGAAAATGGCTCACCCTCAAACTCTGTATCGCCCCCCATAACTCCAATATCTCAGTCTCCAATCGGGGCCATAAATAATCAAATTGTATTTGAATCATCACCAAGTGATATAAAAGTTGAAGAAGAAAAGTGTTTCTTGAATAATGAAAGTGAAAAAAACTGTGATATAAAAGATTTTGAATGTCCTAAACAAGATGGTGTGGTTTTTAAAGAGCCCACCAAACCCATAGACATTAACATGCCATCAAGCTCTAAGAATAGAGAGAGGAGGCCTCCACCCCAAAGGAGTGATTCAGAGACAAGTTCTACTCATATGGAAGTTGACGAGGTTGGAAGTTGTAATGATAAAACTGGTGCAAATACTGATATTGATTCAGGATTTGAAAATATGGAGGTAAGTTAGAGAAAATTTAAAGTAATACCTTTTATATAATCTTAAAGTAAATATTGCATTAGCAATGAAAAAACAAATATTAAATTGATAAATTCTTGTTTATAATCGGAAAATAACGTGATTTTTTATATATTTATACAAAAATCAATACTTTTTACCAGGGAGGAGGGTTAAAATTTTACACACTTTTGCCTTTTTACTTATTAAAAAATTAACATGTTTTAATGAGTTAAACTATACCTACCTAATAATAATTAAGTAATGCAAGGTTTACCTTTAATTTTTAATATCCAAAAAAGTTACACTTGATTTATTTTCTCATAATTGTATGATATCAATAAAATTTGCAAATGATAAATAAATTTTATGGGTTCAACACAGAAAACAATTGTTTCGGCAAAGAGCCGACCTTCTCTGATATTAATATTAATACAAATATGTTTATTTGAGTGCAATTTCAAATGTTCATATTAAAAACAGACAAATGTTTATTATTGTCTATTTTATTTTAAAAATTGATTAAATATAAATACAAACTAATACCTATTAACTATTTTTTATTATAAATTATTAAATATAAATTATTTTTATATTTCTGATCCTTTAAAATTTAGACTAATTAACTAAATAATAAAACCTCTTTTATTTATTGTAAAATTAAAATATTTACTGAACAACTACTATAATATGAACTACTACTATATGATAAATTAAGTAAGTGTTACCTCATTTGATGTTACATTATATTTAGATAAAAAAATATTTTTCACTTGATTAAAAATTTAAATTAATTGAGGATAATTGAGTAAAATCCTTTTTAACGTAAAGAAAAACAATTGTCACAAATTAATAAAGATTTGTTTATTTTTAGCACAATTGAAAACTTAAAAAGGTTATTATTGTTTATGCTTTAAATAAAAATAGATTAAATACAAACACAAACTAATATTTACGATAATAATAATTATTATTATTGTGAACTTTTAACTAGACATTAACAAAGAGTTTATTTTTATATTTCTGGTTTCTCTAAATAACTTAACCTTAATAAAGTTAAGCAAGGTGGGAACTAAATTTAAATTTTTGTGTTTTGATGAGAATTTAGTTTTATTTATTTTAAAATTTAAGAACAGATGGTTTCATATTGAATTTAAAGTTTCCCAATCATAAATAAAAATGTTATAGCGAACTGATTGAAGTTTAACAAATTTACAGGATATTTGTATACCTTTCTGTTTACCTAATATTGGATTTGACCTTTTGGCAATAATCAATATTTAGCAGTATCAATTGAACACATTAATGTTAAAAACATTTTATTATATTATTTTATTAAATTGCATTGAATTAGTGGTATTATCACTAGGTACTTACACTAATGTAAATTAATTATTGTAAAATAACTAATTTTTAAGGGTTCTCATAATGTTAAATCATAGATGATAAACAAAAAACTATTTTTAATTTATTTAGCTTATTTATAATTATATTAAAGTAATATTAAATTTGTTTTGATAATTTACATATTGTAATTAAGTTGTATTTATGTAACTAAATTATCAAAAATTAACTTGGAATAAAGTTGCCTACAATACCACATTAAAATGCAATTATTTAAAAAGGCAGTATAAACTATCATTAACTAATATTTTATCTTTTTATTCAACTGTAGAAAATATAATAAAACGTCTACGCGTTATGTAAATCATATGTAATACCTACTTACAGAGTGGTGAAAATTTCGTGGCTCACCTTTGCTATCCCGTAAACGAGATAGAGGGAAGGTTAAATTAGATAAAAGTTGTGCTATTTTATGACGTTTAAAAATGCAAAAAATCTTGGATATCTTGGTTTGTTTTTGATTTATTTTAATTTAAAATCTCCCGGGGGTGTTCGAACCCTTAAAACCCCCTGTGCGCAAAGGTCTGCGTCTACGCAACCCTTACTAATGCTGTTAATCACCTTTGCTTCAAAATTCAAGGTGCTTTTGCTTCCATTCCAAGAGAAGATAATATTAAATATTATTTAATGAGCTGTTGATTCCATGTATTTAAGGACACATTTATACATCAATAATAATGGCGGACATTTTAATCAATCCAACATTTTTCTGTGAAATTACCTGTTTTTTGTTTGTTTAATAAATTGTTGCTGTATTTTTATAACAAATTTTACTGTATAAAAATGTCAATATGTCATCACAATTACCAACTATTGATATGCCACTTGTCAATCTTGTTATGGTTTTCCTATGTGATTTTATGAACTTTTTACACAAATTTTCATAATTAGATCACAATATCTGAAAAGCTTATTTTCCAGTAGTGTCAAAAACCAATATGGCGGCAATAAGAAATTGCTCATAATCTAGAAGGCCTAGAATTTTTTTGACAATGCCATTAAATTGACAGCTGTCAAAAATAAAAAGCCACCCAGTTTCATCAACATAGCTAAAGTGGTAAAAGCTATGAATTTTAATATAAAATTAAATTTTTCAGTTTTTTCTTAATAAATCAAAAACAAACTAATATATACATATATCCAATATTTTATAGAAGAGTTATACCTCTAATAGTTTTTGAGATAGCAATGGTAAGCCACGAAATTTTAACCTCCCTTTACATTAGGGTAGAGCAAAATATAAATATTTTTAAAAATATAAACGCTTCTTCTCAAACCCCTATAGGCCTATAACATAATTCGTATAATTTTAAACGAATTTCTTAACGTTTTACCTCACAACAAAAATTATACATTATGTCCCAGATCTGAGCAAAGCACTGAAAAAAAGTGCTTCAAGTACCAAGCCCTATGTAAAAGTAATTGGCAACATAAAGCACCAAGCACAATTTAACTACCAAGCACTAATTACTAGGGATAGAACGATATCACTTTTTTTTGCCGATACGATATATCGGCCGATACCGATATTTACGTGCCGATATACCGATATATCGTATCGGCAAACATAATGCCATCTATTTATACACGACCGAAGCAAAAATCGGGGAAGTCCCGTTTTAATTCCGTTGCGAGGAAACGTTTGTAATTGGTAGTGAGTGACATTTCGGATTTCTGGGAAGCCCCTTATACAGCGTGTATTAAAACGAATAGATACACTTAAATAAAACAAGTGCCAAACCCCGCCCACTGTGGTAGGGATTGAGAATTTATAGGTTTTATTTTTATAGAATTCGTTTGTTTTGTTTTAATGCATTTCTGGCAGTGTTTTTGCATCATAATATCAAGAAATTAAATTTTAAGTATTAAGTATATATATATATATATATATATATATATTTGTTCAACGAACTAAGTGGGGTCCGTACAGGGCAAAATCACGGTAGTTGTGAGGTCCGAGTCAAAGTGAGGTCCGTATATGGACCTCACAACGTTCGGCCCTTGAAATTGTCACCACCACCCTATCTTTCACAGGAGACACCATTAACAAGTTTTTACTTTGGTCCTCACTTTGTGCACTGGACAAAAAAATGTGTATACTGTAGTTGGACGTTTTGTTATAGGGGGCGCTTCAAAGTTTGTATATTTTCAAGACGTATATCTTCGATGCTTCACCGTGCTCACAAATTGAGGTCCGTCACACTGGCAACACTGCGTACAAGCGTTGCAACGCGTTGTGAGGAACGGTGCATTTCTTGTACTTAACAGGTCTTATTTGATGCGGCTTTGCTCAATTTAAAATTAGCGCCAATACGATAAAAAGTATAATTGCTTAAACCCATTATAACAATGTTTTTTGTGGCTGTATATTAAAGGACCGATCAAGCAGAGTACAAACCGTGCTCTGTATATCCTGCAGCATCCACCGCATCTTATAAGGTCCGATTTGTGTGTGTTTGGGACTAAGCGTAGGTAAGTGGCCAATATAGCAGGTCATCGGTAAACCCTGATGCTTTTATGCATACTTATAACCAGACATCAGTGGCGGATTGGGATATTGGTTATACCGATATCTCAGTTAGCAAAATTTAAATAAGCTAGTTTTTCAGCGCGCCTTACCAGCCCCCTGTCACCCCTAATTCAAAAAATTCAAATTAAAGTGGTGCAATTCATAATTCAAGTTTATCGACAAATTTCAAAAATTTATTTTAAAAATCCATTACTTACAGATTTTATACCATTTTTTTAAATTTTAGTTAAAAGAATAAAAAAAATTTAAAATGGTATGAAATCCGTATTTCTTAGATTTTTTAAATAAATTTTAAAATTTGCCGAAAAAATTTAGTGAATAACTAAGATATCGGTATACCCAATATCCACAATCCGCCATTGCCAGACATTTAGTAAAACAAATTAGTTGAGCATTTTAATTTTAGACACGTTTTTAAAAACGTGTCTAAAATTAAAATGAATTAAAAGCAAATTTGTTTTATAAATATAGCATTTGCTTTATAACTATAGGCATTTCATAGCTTTTTATCCGCGTTTGACAATAACGTGATACTAAGAAATATAATTACAAACTTATCCATAGCATCAAACATTATTATAAGTTTGTGATATATCATAATAAACAGAGCAGCAACAGCAGCCCAGCAGATAAGACCTGAAGATGGTACATGAGATTGTACCGAAACGTCGTCAGACATACGGTTCTTTTAAGAACCAAAAACCGACAACACGGAGCAGATCCCGAAAAACCACTAATACATATAACGCCCCTGGAAACCTAAAGCAGAAGCTTTTGTACTTGCAATTTGATTTTAATGAATAGAGGCTCAAAAGAGAGAATAAAAAACTCTATGTAAGCTGTAAAAATTGTTTTTAATGTCACCCGACAGATGCTTACTATAACATTTTTTTTCTATGTCAAAATTCGGAAAAAAATATTAGGGTCGTTTTTTGTAAAAAAAATAAAAAATAAACAAGTACGCCACTGAATGCGACATGCTTTAAAATGTATACATACCAAATTTCATCAAAAACTAACAATTATTAACTATTTTAGACAAGTTTTTGGGATACTTTAATCTTAAAAC